TAAATATTATGAAGTTGGGACTTCTGAACATCAGCTTACGAATACTTTGAGCTCTAAGCTGATGCCGCCTGCCAGCCAGTATCACAGTCTTTGTATAGCAGGTTATACACTATTGGATTTTACACTTCATTTCCCCTTATTTTGTAAACATGACATGAAAATGGAAAAATGGAAGTGCTAAAACTCGTGACAAGAAATGTACGTTTCATAAATTTAGTGTAATTAGTATGAAGACAGAAACAATCATTAGCCTCAAAGAAATGCTCACTGGACTTCAAGTCAATCAACTGTGTGTTTGACTACAAAAGAACAAAAATAAAGATGGCTATGAAATGCTGGAACTGTATCATCCAAGATTGTGTCAAGCCTATATGATTAAAAATAATTTTATAATTTAAAAAATATTCTATAATATTTTATACTCTCTGGAATATTATTTGAAAACACATATTGTTCAGTTCCCTCATTCAACTGTTTTAAGTGTTTACAGGAACATATTACATACAAAAATAAGAATCCCTCTAGGTATAGACAAAACTGGCCAAGCACAGTGGGTCAGGATTAGCAACCTGTCATAAGACACAGGAAAAACTGCTATGTAAGTCAGAGGCTTCAGACCATGTCAATATACAAATCAAACTATAAAAGACTCAGTGGCAGCCTTCTTCATTAAATAATATAGGTAAATTAAAAAGATCAGAATCAAAATTCAACCTATTAAACATGCTTAAATGTGAACATGAACACAAAACAGAAGGAAACAGACAACTGAAAATATTATGTTGAGGTAGTAGAAGTGTGGGATGGATTTTTTTCTGTACTATTTGAAATATTTTAGAATTCATATACATACACCATATATATATAATGTACATTAAAAGTAATTATATATATATATATATATATATATATATCTCCCCATTAAAACTCTTTGATTACTTACTAGAATGCTGACCATAGCCTTTCCTGACTTGTTCCATTATGGGATCATCCTGTCCCAGGAATTATATTAATTATCTCCTTAATCTCAAACCCAATTCCCCATCTTAGATTCATACACTATAATTTAATGCAGGTGAAGTAATCAGAACAATGCTGGTAAGTAGCACTGTACATAAATATTAGCCACAGAAATGCCATATCACACAACTGCAGGGAGTGCCGTTCACATAACGTACATTGAAAGTTGTGCTCCCTGGCACGGTGCAAACTGGCAGCCCCATGTCCACTTTCTAGTATTGGTCAGTATTTACTTTCTTCCAGTGCCTACATCGAATTTTAAATCATCCCAGGCTGTGATTAAGAAGTACAAATTGGTTGTTACAGAATGATCGTGGGGATGTAAAGTACAGCATAGGGAATGTAGTCAATAATATTCTAATAACTACATATGGTGTCAGATGGGTACAGGATTTATTGGGATGATCATTCAGTGTGTTATGCAATGTCTAATCAATCACTGAGGTGTATACCTAAAACTACTATAATGCAACTGACTGTAATGAAAAAATAAAAATGATTTTTAAATAAATAAATCATCCCAACCTACAAGGCTTTTTAATTCAGATATTTTTATCTGTGTTAGTTTACTAGGATGTATTTGCCTAGACACACTTAAAACTTAAAAACTTAAAAACTGTCAATAATTCTCTCATCCTTTTGTTATGAGACTTGTATTGAATTTCTAACTTCCTGTTTACCCTTCCTGCTTATAAAATAACTTATGAGTTCCTAATTCTCATTAATTTATATTATTTTAGTATAAAATATAAGTATAACATGTATTATATTTATAATTATCAGCTTAATTTTCAGTAATTTAAGTGAAAAATTATTCTCTGCATAATTTTTTTATGATTCACTCTCACTTGACAGCAGTACCCGGACTGCTAACTTAAAATAGGAAAAGACTGAGTTTTCTAAATTTCTGGAGAGTTGGTTGGAGGGTAGCACAGTAATTTCCTACCTAATCACAAACATATATTCCTCAGTTTTAACATATTTTTCTTATTGTGAGAGAATAAGTGAAATTTTATAACTTTAGCTGTGAATGTTTTGGGCCATTGCTTGCCACCAATTGTCAAGGAGAACTGTAAAACACAAAGAAAAATGCTAATTCAAAAATGTGTCTGCAATACTGAGTCTAAATACAATATTTTTCAAAGTTTATAGGCAAGAAAAAAGTCTTTATATACCCATGAAAAGCACACAAAAATGCTTAAGATTTCTAAACTGATTTAAGATTCAAACCATAAAATGATATAAAAATTTATATATTAGAATCAATAGGATGTCTCCAATTTTTCCTGGCCTGATGTTTCACATTTTCAATTCAGTATCTCAAGATATTTGGTCTAAAAGCACAATTGAGTAGAGTGCTATTGAATTGTGGTTGATTGTCAATACTGGGGCTATAATAAATATTACCTGATAAATATTCTCCTAAAATTTTTTAAAAGACATGTGCTCTTCTTTTTATAGAAAATAATAATCCCTTATCCTTTCCAAGAAATTGCCTCTATCAATATATTCTAGGTATCTTGCTTCTATTTTACAACTATTTTAAATTCTCAGTTTCCTCCTTACGTCTGTTTCAATAGAAATTCATATCGTTATTTAATATTTTAAAATATTTTTTCTCCATTCTTTCTCTTCTTTTTTCCTATTTTTGAAGAATCCTTTATAATGTTTTTATGGCTGTATAGTCAAAAAGACTTACCATATTTTTGGACCATAAGACACACCTAGGTTTTAGAGGAAAATATGGAAAAAAATTTTGAAGCAAAAAATGTGGTAAAATATTTAGTAAGATAAATAAAATAATATTTCACCAATGTAAATGTAAGCAGAACTCAACAGCAGCATTAACAACCATTATTCCTTCCAAATTTGGGGAGGGGAAATAGTATGTCTTATAGTCTGAAAAATACAGTAAGTATACAATGTAAGCTACAAAGGTGATCTGTGATAAACTATGAAAATGAAACTTGGTCCTAGTAGCAAAGAAATTAGCAGATAAAAGAAAAAGAAAACTGGATTAGCGTGGTCTAACCACAAATACAGTGCTTTCTGGCATTAAATAATAGAAGTAACTAGAGGTCTCTGAAAAAGCAGAGATTTCTGACCTAAAATTGAATATATTATACAAATAAGTCATTTTTCCTGTGTTGTTGCTTTAATTCTTCTGAAAACAAGATAGAATTAACATATGTAACATAAAATACTTTTAGATATGTTTGTCCTTAGACAATGTTAAATCCTACCTAAGGTTAGCAGAATACAAAAAGAACCTAAAATTTTAAAGTTATCTTCCGCCAAAGTTATCTTCTCACTAATACAGATTTAATGGGGTTAGTTTAATGTAAAAACAGGAAAAAATCGATACCTCAGGGAAATTCTTTCGGATATACTTACACTATAAAGGATCTTTTCATTCATTCATTCAGCAAATGATGAGTCTCTGGTTTGCCTGCTGGTGGGTTAATACACTGACAAAAGGGGATTCAAAGTGTCAAGTCTTAGGAAGAAGAGAGAAAAGAAACCTTCACCACCAAAATCCTATCAAGCATTTTAAAAATTCATTTCTAAAATGTTAATTGCAAAATCTAGTATCTTAATATTGATATCCAAAAGGAGGATCCTCCTACCATAATTCTAGCAGAACGCCCATCTAAGAATAGTTTCCTCTTTTACTTTCCTTCATTCCAGGCTGAAAAAATTATCCATAAGCTTTACTGACCGAGTTTACTGGCTGTCAGAACTTGAAATGAAATCTGTGTTCAAAAAGTCTGAAACCAGAATAGGCAGTATTTCTATTCTAATTATAATACACAGTTTTATCGCTGCCTTTCCAACAAAAGATTATCACAACTTTCTGGTCCTCAGCTGAAGTTGAATTAACAAGCAAAATAAATCCATCAGCCTATTTCTCAATTTTCATGAATGCATGCATTAATTCATATGTATTATTAAATATTTTTAATAATAATTTCTAATTCTAAACATTCTCAGTTATGGGGATGAGTATGTGGTAAGATTTGTTTGCCTATACAATATTCTGAGTATTTTTTTTAAAGATTGTATTTATTTATTTTTAGAGAAAGGGGAAGGGTGGAAGAAAGAGAGGGAGAGAAACATCAATGTGTGGTTGCCTCCAGTGTGCCCCCTACTGGGGACCTGGCCCACAACCCAGGCATGTGCCCTGACTGGGAATCAAACCAGTGACCCTTTGGTTTGCAGGCTGGCACTCAATGCACTGAACCACACCTGCCAGGGCTGAGTATTTTCAACATAATTCAGTGGAAAGGAAGTTTCTGCCTCCTTTCACATCTACTCTGTCCAGGTATAATTTTATCTCATTCCAGTATCTTACTTCAGAATGATCCCCAAATATTCTGAAAACAGAAAGTTCTCAGCATATAACTTTAAGCTTTTACAGAACAATTAGTTCTGATTCACTGGAAGGTATGGGCCCTCTTATTCAAGGTGCTTGTAGAACTCTGTGAATTCTGCAGGTATGTAAGAACAACACACTGCAATAATTTAGATGAAATTGGGCATACCACTGGCTTCTTGTTCTTGTACTGCTTTGACCTTCTAGGAAAATTCATACTGGACAAGAAAATGAAAATTTTAGATTTCAGACTATTTATTTCAATTCAATAAACTATCCTCACTGGGAAATGCCAAACATAATTTGTCTCATCAGGTACAATAAAGCAAGCTGCCCCACCCTCTGTTTGCATTCTGCATGCAACTCTAAACCTAACAGGTAGGCTTGCTGATGGAACAGTCCAGGACTTTAAATGATGCACAATTTCATGTCTATATAAGTTACCTTTTCACATCAAACATGGAAGCTCCATGAAATAAGTTAATATTTTCCTTTCAGAGCAACAATATTATTTGCCTTCATTACAAATAAAGAGAATTCATTGGAGACAATGATTTTTTTTCAAAGAAAGGATTAAAATAATCTCATTAAAACCAAAACAAAGGTATTTTATGTTCTCACATCTTTATTAAGGTATTCATTTTATAATCCTGGCTCAATAATAACTCTTGTACTCTTATATCACAAATTTGCCTTTAAGTAACACATAACACACTTAAGGCAGATTACCTTATAGATGGCCTCAGCTTCTAAACGCCACTACACTGATTTACACAAATAACAAAAATCACATAGAGGAGCACCCCTTGGTATCTTTCTCGGTACTTATCTTTAGATTTTAAAACTGGGTAGTAAATAGAATTCCCGTAAAATTTAATTTTTAAGATAAGAAATGAATACCATTCCTATCTTAAAATTGCCTTTATCTGATCTGATTGGATGCCACTATTATTAGTAACATAAACTTGAAATTTGTGGGAAAACCAATACTTTATATCCACTTCTCAGAGAAAGCTAAACAGCAAGAAAAATGAGAAGCTATTATAAATGATATTGCTAAATATTACCTAAATTCACAAGTCTGCTTATATAACTGTACGCATATAACAGCTAACAATCACTATTTAATATATCAAGATACATCCAGAAGTATCCCTTGGTTGTGTTAACACCAGGCAGCACAGAAGAGTCATTCTCTGGTCTTCTGGTCATTAGTATAAACTGAAGCTTTTGAAGCTATTTGGTAATCCCAGTTTGGGGGCCTATATCACAAAACCTTCAGGAGACTAGTGGCCTCAAGTGGAAGAATGCGAAGACTGGAAGGCTTGCCTTTAAGGTAGTGTAATGGGAAGATCTTAGTGAAATAGGAATACAGCCAGAATCACTTGTTATTTATTAGAAATCAAGATTCATTAGATCATCTCTCTTTCAGAAAAATATCCTAAAACTTGTATATTTTCCAATGTTCCTTTTTAAAAGAACATATAAAATTAAGAAATTTGTGAAAATAAATCAGTTTAATGTATACTTGTTTCTCTTCATTTTCCCCCTTCAAGTTCTTCTCATCAAGCACAAATGTGCTTATCTTTTAAAGCAAAACAAATTCTTCTGTGCTAAATCTTTTTAATATTTTCTTTTCATCCTCTGAGAAAAGGTCTTCTTTATTGGTTGTAGTAGATGTAAAATCATAGTCTCTGGCATGACCATTTACAAAAGTAAATAAGGGGTATTTCTCTTTAGAAGAAATTTTCAGCATCTGTAACAGAAAGTACAGAAAAACCCTTTATCCAACAGTACACAGTAAGACTACATGACAAAATCTAATGTTTTAGCCCTGAATCTCTCATTAACTTCTCATTTACATTTATTCAGTGCTATTGCTTTAATGTTCTGGCTAAAAGACAAAATTGATCAGTATTGTGTAGTTTATTTATAGTTAAATACCTGCTTCTCCATTAGGACTAGCCATCAAAAACTAAGTACCATCCCCCCAACTCCCAAAGTAAGTCTTCAGGTCATGCTAGTTTGAAGGCTTACTGTAAAGAGTTAATATTTACATCCTGTTAGTAGTAGCAGACAACATAACAAAGTGGTATAACTACTATAGTAAAACATTGTAAAAGATTGCTCGGTACCAGAGAAAGAAGCATTAACTGAGTAGGAAGATCTATCTAATCTCAGTTCCACAACTTACCTTGATGTGGTCTTCAACAAATCACTCTACCTGAGTACTGTCTATAAAACAGGGCAACAGACATCCAATCTCCTTACTTCAGAGAATTTTTAAGAGGACCAAAAGCAATAATAAAAAGTTATTTCTAAAAATTAAGTTTGGTCTTTCTAAGGATCACTATATTTGAAAAAATATTTCTGCAAAAATCTGGTCAACATAAAATATACTAATCTTATACATACATAGTAGTAGTCTACACTTTACATGCTGCCTTCTAGAGTCACATTAAATAATTCAGAAGTGAAAAATAGCAACACGTAGAATTTTGTGAGGACACTGGCAACCTTTAGAACCTCTGTCAATTTGGTATTCATTGACAAGCCAACAACCCATTCTAAACTATTTTAAACCTTTCTGTTAAAAAAAAGTAAGCAATTTTCATTAAAAAAATACATTTAAATTTCTGATGGATGTTTTGATAAAATCCAATGTTTCTATAAGTAACCAGAAACTATAAGAAGGATTTTGAAAAGTTTATGAGAGTTACAAAGAATGCTGGAAAGAATACCAAGAGTACTTAAACAAGGGTGGGCAAACGTAGGTTCACAGTTGTTCATATGAAAAATAATTCAATTAATAAATAATAGCGCAAGAATAAACTCTATGTTTCACGTACTCACAACTGTAAACCTACTTTTGCCCACCCTGTACATCATTCATCACAATCAATTAGATATAATCTCTTCTTAAAGGATAATTTCAGGGGTAAAAAACAAATTTTATCAAATGTCAATATTCAACTAAAGGATAATCAAATTCTTAAATATTACAGATTCTCTTGAAACATGGCTAAACTAAATATGTATCCCTGGCATACAGATATAATGTTAAATTAAAAATATTTCAATGGGAGAGTTAATATAAAACATATTTTAATTGAATAAAAATAAACCATTTAAAAACAACAAAGTACTTAAAAAACCAGATGTGATAAAAATCAGATCCTATAATTCATTCTGTGCTCCTAATTTATATATTGTTCAAATTTATTTTATTTACATTCTACCAAAAAAAAAAAGAAGGGCAAAAATGTGCAAACTGAAAAATAAAAAGAAAGGGCATCTCATTGGTCAGTGTTACTTACAGCCAACAGTTGGACTATAGTCCAAAACTGTTGTCATTTATATTCATTTAATGTCACTTATAAAAATCCGGTATCTAACGAGCAGTTATCCTATCATTTTCAAATCAACACAGCAGAGCTAACATTATCATCTCTTCATCTTTGCTTTCAAGATTATGAAGGAAGTCATTTAGGTTTATTAGTTGCTCATCAACTAAGATTCAAATCTGTACCCTAGAGCAAAGTGTCAGAAAGGAACCCTTTAGCCTTTAATTAAAAAATTCACTTACTTTTTGCAAATTCACTTGAAAGGCAAGGCCTCCTAATGCATATTTTATTGATTTAAGCTTTGAGAATTATCATCTTTCTAGCTTTTTTGTGCTCAAAATATTTTTAAAGATTACCAAGTGAAATATATACTTATGATTTACTCATTTGAGTGACAAACTTATGTCCACACAAAAACTTGCACATGGATGTTTACAGCAGCTTTCTTCATTACTGCCAACACAAACAACAAAGATGCCCTTTAGTAAGTGAATGGGTAAACTGCGGTGTATCCAGACAATGGATTATTACTTAGCACCAAAAAAGAAATGAGTTATCAAGCCATAAAAAGAGATGGAGGAACCTTGAGTGCATACCACTAAATGAAAGAAGCAAATCTGAAAAGGCTGCATAACATATGGTTCTAATGATAAGACATTCTGGAAAAGACAAAAGTATGGAGACAGTAAAAAGAGTGATTGCTAAGGGTTAGTATGGAGGAAGAGGTAAATTGGCAGAGACAAAAAACTTTGAGGGCCAGGAAACTACTCTGAATGATACTATAATGGTGGATACCTGTCCTTTTACAATACCAAAGTGAGTCCTAATGCAAGTTATCATTACATTTGGGTGATAATGGCATGTCAGTGCAGGTTCATCAGTGTTCCTGTGGGGACACTGACAGTGGGTGCACATGAAAACTTTCTGGAGTTTCCACTCAAGTTTGCTATGAACCTAAAACTGCTCTAAAAACAAAGTCTATTAAAAATACATATATTGAAGGGCAACTGAGTTGAGCAATAAGGTAAGCGATAACATATCAGCACATAAATATGACATGGAGAGAAAAATAATTTTAGGACAGATAAAAATGGGAAAATTGAGACCCAAGGATTTAAATTAATTTCCCAAGATGACTTAACAACAGCAGCAACAACCAAAAGAGATAAATTGATAACAAATTAGTGGAATATTAGACCTCAATGACTTATCAGCATGTCTTTCCAATGTTCTTCACAGCTCTAAGCACCATATTAAGAATCTTTTTTCAGGCTTCTTTTTGTTTTATAAAAAATAACTATTGATTTGAAAATTTGATTCTGAAAATTTATATCAAAAGTGAAAACTTCAGTTTTCATTTTCATATTATAAGAAAGGACACACTGTCAAAACCTAAAGTTCCTCCATAGTGGATAATAGAAAAATCTATATGAAAAAAATTCCAAATCAGATTATCTATATGACATGGGGTATTTATCAACTGAAATACCATAAAAAATAGAAGTTATTTGGTAACAACCAATCTCTTTATATTTCAACAACAATCAACACATCTGAGCATTTCTTTCTTTACTTCCCTTGACCTCTGTAGTATTTCCTTTTCCTGTGTCTCCTATTTTCTACACTATTTCTTCTCTATCTTTCTTCATTGACTCCACTTATTCCTTTATTCCAAAATGTACACATTAATCAATTATTGTTCCTTTAACTACTCTATATATTCTATCCTCTCTCTTGAAAGTATTGTCTACTTTCAGTTTCAAACATTTCACTATTAGCCTTTGCTAACATCCATGTTTTACAGACGAGGAAACTGAAATACTGAGGGGGTTAAGTGACTTGTGCAAGTTCACACAGCTAGTTCACACAGGCAGAGGCAGGATTTAAGCTTACGCGGTCTGGTTCTCTTTTAACCACTATAGTAAATGGAGGTGTGTTGCAGTATCAACTCTGAGTGATCATACCAAAGTAAATGATCATTTCTTCCTTCCAAAGTTAACTCCCTTCCCTATATCTGTCATTGTTAACATAATGAATATTAATTAGGGATGGTTTTTACTGCACGTGACAAAAACAAAATAAGAAAACAATAATGGCTTTAAGTAAAAGGAATTGTCTTTATCACATAACAAAAAGTCTGGCATTGCTACTTTAGTTAATCAATGTCAAACAGTCTAGAATTCTCTTGGCCTTTCCCTTGTGATCACAGAGGGCTGCTGAAATGTCAGGTGTTGAGTATGCATTCAATGTGGGGGTGGGTGGGTGGAAGGAGAGTGACAGTAGTGCATCTATAGCTGCTATTTATTTCATCAGAAGAGCAAAAGCTTTCCTAGAAATGTCCAGCACACAGCCACTTCCATATCACTAGGCAAACTGTGTCTACATGCAAGGTAGATCAAGAAAACTGAGTATCTGTGTGGACACACTGTTACCCCAAATAAAATCAGGAGTCTCTTAGCAAAAGAGGGAGTTGGATATTAAACAGGTAACTAAAGGTGCCTGCACACCATTCAGAAAGAACCATGATAAAAAATAAAAGTGGGTAATGTGGTAAGGAAGGGCTGAAAAATTTCTGTAGGTTGTGTGGTCAGAAAAGGCCAAGCTTAAACCTGAATGACAATGAGTCAGACATAAAAGTTTTAGGAGAAGAGCACTCCAGGCAAAGAAGAAACTCAGCCAGTACAAAGGCTGAGGATGCCAGCACACTCAGCGTGTTGAAAGACAGCAGCATGGCTCAGGGGCAGAGGAAAAGGATAGTAGGACACAGAAGCTGGATAACACAGGCCCTTGTCCACCACCTTAACAAGCAATCTAAGTTTCATTGTTCCCTTAAACATTCTACCTCAAAACTTCTATCATAAACATCCCATAACATCATACTAGTGTTTCTGCTCATGTTGTTTCTATCATCTAGCTGTCCTCTATCCTTGCTTTCTGGTTGTAGGAACTTTATCCATCCTTCAAGTTTCAGCCCAAGTTCCAATGGTAAGTATCTTTATCTACACTGAGTGAGTACTCCTTGCTGCAAAGTCCTACAGATCTGTCTAGTACAGGGTAAGGATTATAAACAGGGACCACGGAACTCAGACAGTCCCAGGTAAAACCTGGCTGACACTTATAAATTATGTGATTGCGGACAAGTCACTCCAGTCTGTCTCATCTTTCTTAGTTGGAAAATGTCAGTATTACAACATCTAAGTAAGAGGAAATGGTGGGGGAGGACTGCATTTTTAAACAAAGTGGTCAGATTAGGCCTCATTAAGAAGGAGACATGTTTAAGCCAAGACTTAAAGGAGGTGAGGACATCAACCACACAGATGCCTGAGGGAAAAGCATTTCATTCATGTGCACTTGCTCTGAGACAGGAGTCTGCCTATTAGTTAGAGGATCTGCAAAGAGGCCAAGGGGGCTAAAGCACAATGAAAAAGAGACAAAACAGGGACGAGAGTTTGAGGTAACAGGGAAGGACACGGAGACACTGATCATTGAGGGCCTTGGAAAATACATAAGGACTTTTTTACTTTTAAGTGAACTGGCAAGTCAATGCAGGTTTTTGAGGAAAGGAGTGGATGATCTGACTTACATTTTAAAAGGATTATCCAGGCTGCTGAATTGAAAACAGGTGGGACTGAGGAGGCTGGCAACTAATCAGGAGGCCACTGCAGTAACGGCAGCACCCAGACCAGGGCAGCAGCAGTGGAGGGATGAAAAGTGCTCTGCTTCTAGATATACTTTGGACATATAATTGGTTATGGGGCATGAGAGGCAGAAAGTAAGGATAACTGCAAGGCTTTGGCCTGAGCAAACAGAATGATAAATCTGCCTTCAAATGAGATAAAGAAAACTATGAGTGAAACAGGCTTAAAAGGAAAATAAGAAATTTGACTCTGGATCTATACATCACACATAGAAGAGATGATGCACAGCAGCTGGGCATATATAATCTAAAATTTGGAAGAGAGGTTTGGACTAATAATATGATCTTGGTTTTAGTTGACTTATTTTTGATACTTCAAGCTAAATGACTAAATGAGATCACCAAGATGAAGAAGACGTGAGAACTAAAGACTGAGCGCTGGGGTGCTCCACCATAAGAGGCTGTAGAAGAGAGCAGGCAAAGGAGACTTGAGAAGCGCTACCTGGTAAAGAATGAGGCAAAACACAACAGTTTGGGTCCTGGAAGCCAAATGAAGAAGATGTCTGGAAGACCAGTGGGTGCTCAGCTATCTCAAATGCTCATGCTGGGATGTGTAAGATGAAGACGACACTAGGACCAACAGATTTAGCAACGTAGGGTCAAGTGACTCTGAAAAGCAGTTTCGGCAGAGTGGATGGGGTAAGAGCACTCACATATTTGTTGACTAAAGAAATGATCACATTAATGAACTATTAATCTCTTCTCCTGCACACCTAGATGTAAAACAGACTTGTGTTTGAACTCTCTCTTTCACTTGCCCCAGAGTCCAAGTGGCTGCTCGGTCCTATTGACTCTGCTTTCACACTCTCAGAACGTTTCCTTCCTCTCCAGCCACACAGCTCTGTCCTCGTCTAGGTGTTCAAAGAAGGCATTACAAACCACTGAAGAAGGTTGGACTTCTTAATAAATGATGCTGTAACAATGTTGAAAAAATAGATACTTACACCTTAAGGCATATACAAGTTCTAAATACAATACTATAAAACTTTTGGAAGAAATGTAGAAGAATGTAGGTCATTGGTTATTCAAGATTTCTCTGATACAAAATTTAAAAAACATAAAGAAAAAGTTTTACTAATTTGATTAAAATTAAAGATACCATTAACAAATTAAAATAATAGCCTAGGAAAATATATCTGCAATACAGGAAGCCAACAAGGGGTAGTATTCAGAATTATAAATTTGATTTAATTGTGCTAAGTTGGTTATAATTTTCTAATATGAATACAGATAAATATATAAGCACTAAAATATTTATCCTGGTATTAAAATATCTGTTCCAGTGCTACCTAAAATCATCAAGTATCACTTTTGGTTGCAAGGTCTTACACCAGTGGTTCTTGGATTTAGTGTGCAAGACTGCTCGGGAGGACGGTTAGAAATGGAGACTCCCAGACCACACCCCTAGAGATTCAGGCAGCTGGAAGACAGTCCTGCCCTGTACGCACCCTTGGCACCTACCAAATTGGACTATTTGCCATTCTCTTGACAAGCTCTACATTTTCCTTTTCCAGTACCTTTTCTCTTATTTTCCCTGCTTGAAGCCTCCTTCCTTCTCCCTAAGCCAACAGAAATTAAGCTTAAATCATCAAAATAAAGAACTTCAACTTGATTGAAACATCAGACTCAATTCAAAATCCTACTTTCCCCTATCAATTTATTTCTTTTTCTGTATGGATGCTTATATATATATACTACTTAGTGTAATGTATGTCTATTCCCCCTCCTCGACTGTAAATGCTACTTGAGGGCAGAAGTCTCAGACCTTGTTCAAAAGTAGGGATTATGACTTGGTCATTTTATACTTTCAATATAACTTAGCCAGATACTTGCTGAACTGAGTTATGAGAAACACAAAATTAACCTAACAATTTTTATAATCCTTAAAAATCATGTAGTTAAAAATCACATAGCATTACAAATTAAACATTATAATCTAGACTAGCTAGTACCATTTTCAAAATTAGAAAACTCAAAATACATCCTATCTAGAAAAAATAATTTTGTTATTATTTGTAAAGTGAAAAAAATAACTTTAAAAATGTCAAATTCCGTTTTTAAGAAGGAAAACTGCTTAACTTATAACCTTCCAAACAAAAGTGAATAAACAAGTTATTAACTGACAAAGTGAGTTTTTGATACTGTTATAAAAAGCTATTGACATAAGAACAACACTATTGCTAAAGCAAAGTTAACTGACTCTAGCAAAATTCTCAGTACTTCCAAATGATATTCCAATATGGCTTCTCTTTGCCTCAATGTTGTATATTAATTACTCTGATGCATCAAGAGCAATGATTTCTAAGTGTTTTTGCAGTATAAAAATCCTTATAACTATCAGTATAAAAACCACAAAAACTGTCTGTTTTTAATGAGAAAATAACAGATATCTCATTTGTGACTCTTGCTTTTCAACTTGGTAATAATAATCTTGTTTGTTTCTATTCTAGAAGTAGACTGCTTTTCTGTTCTACACTGACTTATTTTAACGTAGATAGAAAATAAATTAATAGGAAAGAGAAATGGAACTCTTTAATGGTGCCTGTTCGTCAGTATCAATCTGTATTATAACACCGTCTAGACTTGGTTGTTGTAGCACATAGACAACACTTCACACAGACAGAGTGCTGTCCAACCAACACATACAAATATTATCAATTTAAGTAATGAAAGAGCAGAAGAGGGAGAGTACGTATTTTGTTGTGTTCAGTCGGCCTCCCAGGGAGGAAGCAGAATGAAAAGACGACGGCTGCTGCGGGAAGCGGGGTGTTAAACAAGGAAAGGCTCTCACACACCTCATCTGCTCCCCTCCTCGGTCATGTTTCTGTCACGACTTTGTTAAATTATCCCTTTTACATGGCAGGCCAAGTAAAGTAAACCTGGTTTACATAAAACCTTTTATTTAGTATCTTCATTTTATTTTTATGTTATAAAAATAAAATTTCAACCCACTATGTCTGTTTTCCTTAAAAAAATTTACTGTAAGTAAAGCAGTAGTAAGGTACAATTATATTTCAGCTCAAGAATTTCCAAAAGTGATTCTAGTATTGGTTTTACTTACCCATAAAATGATAACCTATAGTTATTGATACCAATAAAGAGACCTATCCAGTTATGCCTACTTCCCCAATAAGTAATCTTTTTATTTTGTAAAGTACTAAAGATAGACAATCCTTGAGGCTCTATTAATATTTAGCAGTACTGTACTCAAGGACCAGAAAAATACAGAAGTTTAAAGGTAATGAGAAGGAGTTAAATAAACCTATTTCAAAGATCCTATAAGTCGAATAGATCAGATTAGACAAGCTTATTGGAAGGTAACAACACAGTTCATTTAATAAAGCAGTTCTGAGAAATCCAAAAATACCATTTCTCTTTTTTAAAAAATCAAAGCAGCACTTGGACTAACAAGAAATAATGCACGATTTGGCTTGATCAAATACTTCATTAATTTTTTCTACCCCCTAAGGTATTGTCCTTTTAAAATCCTCTTCAAATAAAATATAACCTAATTGCTTGTATAGACACCATAATCCATTTGTAAATGGATTTGTATTTCAACAGTGCCACCTAGTGGTTTGATCAATACTCTCGACTGTTCACTAGAGAGCTGGTTTCATCAGTATCAAAGGCTAGGAATACACAAATAGTTTTATTTTCTGGTTCAATATTTCTAATAGCATTGAATTAACATTCAAGGGGCAGTTTTAAAAAAGTACATAATTTACAGATTTTTATCTTTTCACAGTCTATCTCAAATAAAAATTAGTTCACTTATAAATATTATAATATTTTAAATCAAAGTACCTTACTGATTTCTTCAGAAGCTCTCTTGAAGTCCTGAACGTTGCGACAGTAAAACCCTATTGTGCAGCTAGGGTCCATCTTCCGAAATGACATCTTTTTGGGAGAAGGGCAGTGGAATGTCTGTAATTTTAAAAGTTCTTTAGGATTAATTTACTTTTATTTGATGGACTTAACATACATACAAGACTATTACTAATTTAAAATTTGCTACCTAGTTTTTCTCAAAACTTAAACATGATTTTCAAATGGTGTTTTAAGTCTATCCAATGTAGACAGTCCTTCCTACTCTCCCAAGCTCTAAGATATGACAGCCAATATTGTGTACATTCAATTCTCCCAATTTCCACCTTCTGCGGCATTAGTGCCATTCTGCAGAAGAGAGTGAGTCAAAGCAATGTGCCTTTCTAACACTTGCAGAAGGAAAGAAAAATGTGCCACTGAAAAGGATACGAGTAAGCTAATACAAGGTTTAGGATGAAGCTGGCCATTTCAATGAAAGTGCAATTTAATCTGTTTTGTTAGAGTTTTTAATGTTTATAAACCTTTTAATAAGGATAATAAGACTTTTTAACAAATACATAGATTTATGTATATGTTCCATAGTGGTGGCCACATAGTACAATATACAGATGATATATCATAGAATTATACATTTGAAACCTACATCATCTTATTAACCAATGTCACTCCAATGAATTTAATTTTAAAAATGTTCCATAGTGATATGAAAAGAGGTCAACTAAAGAGTTTTACCAATGGACACAATTAGTACATAACTTCATATTCTTCAAACCCACTCTTCCACTTGGCTTTAATTAAGTTCTTTATGCCCATACAGGACACAGGTAAAAACTGCTCTGTTATGGCCTTGCCTCCCCCTTACCAATCCTCCTGTCCCATGAGTTCACTTTTCTCAAATGGTCACAGTGCCACAGCTGTCAGTGGGCTGGGGAGGCTGTTCCAGCCTCTCTGCCCTGGCTGATAGGATGTGGCGCTTAGTAGAGTCTGGATCTTTAGAGAACACAAAAGTGGGAAAGGGGCAGAATATAAGGCTAATCATTTCAGTCTTCTTTTTCTTCACCACTACATTCTGGTACTTGGTTTTAAAGAATAAAAAAAAAAGAACTTCTTAAATGCTTTTGCCCTTAAAAATCACTGATACTACTAAATCTTTTTTGTATGTATTGAAAAGATATTTATGGACAAAAGGAGGACCATAAAAATATATGCTCAAATGTGTTTATAATTGTACATAAATAAATTTTGTAAGGATATACAAAAATTAACAAGCTTAAGGGAGAGGAAAAAAACTGGCCAGATGGCAAACAGGTATAGAAATTCTTTATTGTAAATTTTAGATATTTGAATTACAGAACGAGCTCAGTTAAGAAATAATCTATGTCAAATTTGAACTCATAAAATTAAAATTTCCCTACATTCAGTACCTAAAACTAAGGGATTTTACCTTGAGACCATCTACCAAAATGCGGGAAAATAGAGGCTTTCACATTTTCTGTGTTCCTGGTGAATCAATCAAAGTCACCCTTCTCTCCCACTTCATCCTAGTGATCCAATTAGTACCCTACGTGATCATCAGAGGATAGGAAAAATGAATTTTCAAGCTGCTTTTTTTCCTTATGGATAGTTCACTTATATATAAGATTCAAATACAACATCATGGAGGTAGATACAGATGAAACGAATGTTTTCAAAACCATGGCCTTTACAAAATGCTTTGCTAAAACTTACTTTTTAGAGTGAGATCCAACATAGCTAACCTGGAATCTCCAGGGCACTAGTCTACACAAGCATTGTCTTAGCTGGACTTTTTCTAATATTGTTTCATGTGTTTTATTTATAAGGAGATATTAAAAACAGATCTGGAAAGGAACAGAAGATCTAAGTAAGCTTGTTAGTTAACAATATACAGGAGTATGTTGGTATATGAGGCACAGAAAGTTCTAGGTCTTATTTACAAAAAGTTCTTCTACATATAAGGTACCTAAAAATCATCATTTGCCTAACTCCTTCCAAAGCCAGTAAGCAAGATTTATTTGTTTTTTGCTACCTGGAGATAAGGAAAAAGGACCAAAGTTTCTACAAGGTCGAAAAAATACTTTTTAACTCACACACAATACTTTAGTATTATCTTAGGTAATACTAAAGCATTGATTAAAGTTTTTATTCAAGACCCAATAGGACTAAACCAGAATAGACTCAGTGCTATTTCTCAGTACTGCTTCATTCATCATAGGTAGTAACACTAAACTGTTAATCATGATTGTTTTGATATCTGCAAAAAACTATAATTAGTCACAAAAATACTGATATAAATCTGTGATCACTGCAAACTGAAATTGCTATAGGGTGTACTACATGGTAACAAGGACTCATATCACAGAGAGGCATTTTATATCATTTAAACTTAAAATTATATTCTGTTGTTCACCCAGAAGATTCTGAAGTCAAACCAACATTAATTTATAATTCAGAATCATTTTTGTTTATTGCGGAACAAGTTAGATTTTTAAATATTTTCCCAAGTGGTATTACAAGGCTATGTTTATTTTGTGATAATTCTTTGAACTATGCACTCATTCCTTTTTTGATTTTTAAAATTCTGACCACTGGTAAGAATAGCACACACATTTTAGGGAATGTTCACTAGATACAATTCAGGGACAATTACATATGTTTCTGAAAAAGCTGGCCACAGTGAGTCGATTCTCATTTATTTAATTTTTTCAATACATTATTTATTCGTTGCCTCAACAAATAATTTATTAGGCACCTACTAGATGCCAGGCATTTTTCTAGGCTTATTATTTGGAATAGTGGATTCTATTACCTAAACATACAAACAATAATGAAAGTGTCACAAAATTTAAAATTTAATACAAATATATTTAATCAAAGTATTTGGAGCTACAAGTCAGAATAAGAGTTCAACAAAGGTCTCTAATTAAAGTGCTTAAGACATGCCCTGGCCAATGTTGCTCAGCTGGTTGGAAAACAGTCCTATAAACCAAAAGGTTGCGGGTTCAATTCCTTACCAGGACACATACCTAGGTTGTGTGTTTGGTCCCCCATTGGGGCATGTGTAAGAGGCAACTGATGGATGTTTCTGTCTTACATAGATGTTTATCACCTCCCCCTTCCCCTCTCTCTAAATCAGTAAGCATGTCCTCAGTGAGGATTAAAAAATAATAATAATAATCCTGGCTGGTGTGGTTCAGTGGAATGAGCACCAGCCTGAGAACTGAAAGGTCACCAGTTGGATTCTAGGTCAGGGCACACACCTGGGCTGCAGACCAGGTCCCTAGTTGGGGATGTACAAGAAGCAACGGGTCAATGTTGCTCTCTCACATCAATGTTTTGCTTCCTCTTTTTCTCCCCCCTTCCTCTCTCTCTAAAAATAAATAAATAAATGCTTTAAAATAATAATAATAATAATATCTTTTAAAAATGCTTAAGACAGTGCCTTGTTTATTATAGAAAGAGCTCAATAAATGATAACCTAAAAAGGAAGCAATAACTTGGTCTGATTTGGTTTCAATTAAAAGTTCAACTGCAGAACTCTAGGAATTCCACACCATAAGAACAATGAAATATGTATAACCTGTGACATCTCTCCTTCAATTTCGTATACTCTGATATGATACTACTTTCTTAAACTCTCACAATCAGAATTCAGGGTACGCCCTTAAATTATTTACAGCAATGATTTACTTAGAATTAAATAAAAAATCTAAGGTTTTAACTTCTCCAAGTATTAACCAGAAGAAGTATTTATCAAAAAGAAGCTGTTTTCAAAATAATTTTTAATCATTGAGTTATAAATGTAGTTTAGAACATGCATGTAATTTATTACATCAATCAACCACAAAATTTCACAGTATATAAACATACAACTAACATAGCAAGGCAAGGATGGTTAGTAGTATAGGGTATTTAAAATACCTCCACTTGGAGCATGTTAAGCTTAAAATATGATTAAAAGAAAAAAGTAAAATTCTATTTCTGAACAAAGATAGACAACTTGCTATAATGTGTATGTAATATTCTCACAGAAAAATAAATTATGCTATGCAATAAAAAATCTAAGATAAATCCCTAAATTGAGAAATATGAAAAACTGTCCAGAGGAATTATCCAGACAGGGTGGATACTCTTGGCATCCCAGTGTATAAGAAATAAATGCTTCCATGTATTTAAGAAGCTACCTTATTTCACCAAATTTTACTTTACAAAGTCTCTTAAAGTCAATTCTTCTTTTCCATTCTCACTATCACCCTACTTCAAGCTTTTATTAACTCACTTGTGAAGTGCTGCAACAACCTCACAATAAATGAGCTGCAACCTTCCTGATATTAATTGTGCAGACGTATCCAGAATGTTCATTCACCGGGCAGCTTTGCAGAGTCTCTCAAAATACCAGATGACTAGTCTCTCTCTACTGGCCAAATAATAAACCCCAATACTCTTTTAATTTGCCTGTTTTAGATAATACTGAAATACTATGAACAAGTTTCCATCTGAATCTCAAGTAACCACTTTTTAAGGAGTCATTTTGGCACATACACACTAGAAATGCAGCTTAGACACAGAGGAATCAGCGCCACAAGACCACAGGCAGCAGAAGGAATTACAATGTGGTTCACATAGCGTAATTCTCCAGTGCCTCCCCCAGTATCAGTCAGTCAACTAGGAATATTTACTAAGGTTTATATGTAAGATACTATGAAAGAAGAAAGTAGAAAGCAAACTTGATCTTTGCCCTTAAGATGTTTGTAGTTTAGTTGAGGGGACAGTTTACAAAGGGTGCTAGAATGTTTTACCTTTCTAAACTATATGTTCATCTTGCAGTTAGTTGATCAGTTTTCATAATCTACTCCTTAAATACTTTTAGGTATTACTATTAGCTAGGAAGCCATTACTAAAATGAAGTACTAAACCACAATTCTAACTTGCCAAGCCCTGAGAATTAGTGAACCATGACACTCAAATGATTAAAATTAGTTTAAAAATCTGGAAAGGCATCAACTGGGAAAATAAGACCCAAAACAATGAAATAATTACATGTCTCACTTATGGACTCTCAAATTTTCTGAATTAAATACTGGATCACAAAATGACCAACAGAAAGCAGAAGAAGTTGTTATGAAATCAATGCTAAAACAAAAATTTGAAACCCAACTAAGCTCTTAAAAACTTCTTAACTAGAGACTAAGATTTCATTATTAAGCTCGCAGCAAAATAATTTAGCAGATAGTCTCCTTACATCACCTGGTCAGTCTAACCCTACTCCACTGTCTTCTTTCCTTTTCCCTTCCTCGCTCCCTCCCTCCCTTCCTTTCTTCCTTCCTTCCTTCTTTCTAACATCCTAATATTTTTATTCTTCAGTACTCTTTAGCTGTATATCTACAAAATTACTTGGAACCTTGCTCAATTACTTTGGTGGGGTTAGAGTACCTAACCAGTTAAGAGACAAAGATAAATGGGAAAGAAAGTATATCATAAATTAAAATTCAGCAAGAAAATTTTTAACCTTTGATCATAGTGTGGGTTATGGTTTTATAAGTCACTAAAATATTGATTATTAACCTGTAGTTGTAATACTATACAAGCTTAGCTGCCTAGCATATCTCTCAATAATTAGAGTTTGCTTCATATAGTTAAAAAAAAACACAGCTCTTAATCCATAGTACCTCAAGAGGGAAATCCTTTATGCTGACATCTACAAAAGACTGGCAGTAATGAGGATCCAAGTAAATCAAACTGTCATCTACAAGGACAAAACAGAAGACAAGTAATTCAAAAAACACCTTATTATTACACTGCTTACAATCCAATTTCTATGTAGAATAGCTGAAAAAACTCTGGGAGTAACAGTTTGCCAGACTGATATTCATTGACTAAAACATAGGTTTGCACAGGACAGATTAACTTTTGCATAATCAAATATGCTTGTATAAGCAGAATTTTTATAAAGTGATGAGATTGTCATTTAATTTTTGGTGATAAAATTACTTTCACAAACACACAATTATACTCTACAGTTTGCCCATGAAAAATGTATTGCACTACTTTAATCTGACAGGAAGAGCATACTGCTTGTCATTTTATCATCAGCTAGTACCACTAAACCCGGTAAAAAGTAAATATGTAAATAGCAACTGCCAGAATGTGAAAGCAATGTCTTCTGAAGTTTAGTGAAACCAATAAATTATGCCTTGTTTATGCAATAACGGAAATTAAACATACATTTTACAGAATCCAATTATGTTGTGGACTAAGTGACAAATGAGTGGCTATGGTCGGACTGATGAATTTATAAGGTACTCATTTTGCTCTGTTAATCATCCTGCTTCCAGATGATCCCATATCAACTTACTGACTTAAAAAAAAAATACACACACACAATGAAGAAATACACTTTACTAAATCACTAACCTTGAAATCCAGCAAAGTAATATGACTGTTTCGGTTTGCCACCAATAATTCCCACACAATATTCAAGGCTTAAAATACCCTGCCAAGAGAAACTAATTCAGATTTAGAGTCAAGAGACAAATGGTAATTATTCAAAACAACCAAATTTGTATTACCAATATTAGTTGTTCCCAAGTTTTTCACCACCAGTTTTATTTTTATTACATTTGTCCCCATGTTCTGAAATCCCTCTACAAAACTATCTTCCCTTTTCTTTAAAACACTCAACATTAACATGACTAAATCAAATATTCTGACCAGCATGTCACTCAACAACACTAAACAACTAACTACTGGGTGCCAAATACAGAGATAGACAATGTTACCAAATAAAAACAATAAAATCTCCTGCCAAAGCCAAAAACACCTGGCCTTTCAGTTGCTTGTACAGCCTTATTGTGATCAATGTAGAATTTTCATCAGACTTTTTGAAATGCTAGAAATATTTCTTAGACTCTTTTCATTGAACCTTGAGTCTTAGAATCCCAAACTAAAAACCATTTTCTAACCAATGGCATTTACTTGACAGATTTTTAAATTCTACTTCATTTGGAATAAATGTAAAGACTAATGAAACATTTTAATCCAATGAAAATAGTAATTACTATTGTATTTAAGGCCGATTTATTTTACTAATTGTAAAATATCAGAGATACCTCAATAAATTATTAAGTATGTCCCTCAGCATCTATTTTAAGCAGAACTCAATTTAAGCTGGGCCCAATACCCTTAAAATAGTCCAGTGGGGTCAATTAATGTCTTGTCAATAGTTCCTACATTAATTTTAGCATATATCATGTTAGAGAATGCCAATAGTGATAAAGCATGTTATTTTTAAAAAACAAAGTCTTAAACAATAGCTAAACTTTCCTTCTCATAAATGAGAGGATGTCTTGAAATCTAGAAGATATAAAATATATATATAAACAAATTTTTTTCCTTTAATAAGTAATCAAACCATAGTGTTTTTTAAAGCTTATTTTCTTAAAAATAATGTGTTCACCATAATAAAAACACACATAGTAAAAGTTTCCCACAACCTGAACACTCAGAGCTCATCATAATTAACATTTGGGGGAAATCTCCTTGACAACTATCTGTCTTACCTATATTCACATACAGATTTGTGAATGCAATTTTATGTATGTGGCATCATACAATGCATACTGTTATAACATTTGTCACTCATTATGCCATAAATATTATTTCCTACAAATAAATATAAACCTACATTATATTTAATGACTACAAAATATTCTATTTCATGAAGGCAACAAAATGTGCTTTAAAACCTGATTGTGACTATTTAAATTATTTTCAGGTTCTCACTGTTATAAATAGCCCTTTTTAGTCTTATGAAAATATAATGTGTTTTTTTGGAAAGGAGAACTGCAACTGAAAAAATAAAATAGAAAAGGTATATTAGGTTAACATTTTAGAGCTAACTAAAAAAAGGTTAAGATGAAATAAAAGCTCCACTAACAATAATAGTTTTTTATCAGTAATGAGTCTGCTGTTTTCCCCCTAAGTAAACACCCTTAACACAATGAGAGTGTGTCTTACTTCAGCTTGAGACAGTCTGATCAGCTGAAACAGAATGCTTATGAACCACAAAGGGGTGAAAGTTCTGTCTCTCATAGTTGAGAAAGAGAAAGGGAAAAATATATAGCAAGAATCACTACTGATTCTCCTCAGATGAAGGAGCCCCAGTAATGGAAGAAAGACGCTGGTTCTTCACATTATTTCCTTTACAACAGACCAGAGAAGATTTAGCAATAAACACTTAGAAGCAGATTAGGAGCTGGAACACCATTACATATAAGAGGCTGTATTTTTGGAAACATGGAACACTTTTCAGTTCCTAAAAAAACTTCTTCACAGTTATCTTGCAGTGAGAATTTATTAAGCTGTATCCATGAAGCAATAAATAAGACTGAAGTAATCAGTCAAAAAAGGAAAGTCCTAATTTGTCTTACTGAAGAAAGAGAACATACTGGATTTTCCTCATTGCCCGTCTCTTATAAACAAACAAACAAACAAACAAACAAACTGCCTGTGGTAAGGGCTGATAAAGCACCACGGCAGATTTCTCCTCACAGAATGGTAGAGGGGAAGGTACCATCTCTGAAGAACTGTGCAATTACCTCGATTAATACATTTGAAAAATACAACTGAATGGGGAACTTCTGAGAGCATAATATACAATGGTTTGGCAGGAAAAAAATTATAAACTGCAGATGAAGAAGGAGGAGAAAGCAGATGGAGCGGAGTGGGGGGCAGAGATGAAGGTGGAGGTATAGGAGGAAGAGAAAGGAGAAGTGGAAGAGGAAGATTATTTTTCTTTCAGGGCTGCTATTAGACAGCCTGTTTCTTCACCTCTACAGTGAATGCCTCTTGACACGCTCTCGTTTCGCCTTTTGACCCAACCACCCCCTCTGACCAAGCAAAACACCCAGCACATAGTCTACTTCACTCAGCCATTTCAGCCATTTTTACCTGATAATTGAGAAAGTAAAGTATTTCAGTAGTCACTGCTCTCTCATTTTAGTGGACTATAATATAAATTAATTAGTAAAAGCTCAAAATAGTGATATATTGAGAAAGCCCATATTTTAAGGAAAAATATGAAAAACTACCAAAGTTCTAATCTCTGTTAACAATTCACTATCTGAACTTAAACATATCACTTAACTTCTCTCTTTTCTGTTTTATAAAGACAATCCAGTACGAAAGTATTGTGAGGGCAAAGTGAGATAAACATGTATTGAAAATGTTATACAAATATGAAAGTTAACAGACATTTGTTAATTCCTCTGTGCTAAACATGGCTCCTCTCTCCACAATTCAGGCTCCAACGAATCACTCCAGAGCATTAGGCAGTGCTGCTGCCTGAGAGATATTATCGACACCACCAAACAGCAAAGCCCTCGGCCAGAAGGCCCATGCCTTGAAGCCATCTGCAGTTCACTCCACTGGCAACCAGGTCTCAGCTAAAGGAGTCAGTTCCAAGATTGTCTCAGTTTCTAACCTTTTCATGGTGGTAGAAAAAGGAGAGGGAATGTCGTTTGGTTGGTTAGAACCTACTGAGACATGACAAGATGCCCAAAGTCTCAAAACCCTCAATGGATTCTCCAGATGAAATGGCTCATAACTTTGCACATTCTACCAATATCTCCACTAAAGAACCCACATGTTAGAAATCAAAACCCCATTTTTATCTAAAGGATTCATATGTTATAACTATATTATATTATTGGTAGTATTAGTAACAAGTGTGCCTACAAAATTTTAGTAACTATTAGGAAAAGTTAATACACCAGCTAGAAGACTTTCATATACTACATATTGAAAAGAACTGCTCTAGATTTTTATAATCAGTACAGGTTAGCCTGAGGAGATATTTTCCACCATATACATAGGAACCACAATATGAGATTAATGCCTCATGTGGGAAAAGAATTGTTACTGAATCATAAAACACAAATCTAGACTTTATTTCAAGATTACTATATCCCATAACACTCCATTCAAAAGGAATTTCCATCTCTGCACTTGATAAAATGAGAAATTTTATTAAAACTATGAAAATAACATAGACACTATAATATTAACCAAAAACTAAGTATTTCAAAAGTCAAAGTTTTATGATAACTGAATAGGTTAGTGTCCAAAACAAGCTAATATAATTAGGTTATTTAGGAAAAGAAGAATTATGTGTTCTGAAATAGAATAAATTTTTAACTGGTTAATACGAAAAAAACAAAGCTGGAACCTCCCCCCACATTATCTTCACCATTTCTGTCTACACAAATAATCATCCTAACTTTTTACTGATCTTATGGTGACACAGGAAACAAATTAACAGATAATGCAGCCATAGTAGAAAAGTCAGTTCGTTTTGATGATTATTTGATACAGTTTAATGTGGGGTTTTATCAATAAAAAAGTACATTCTTTTAAAAATCACAAATAACAGTGATGGGAAAAGTAGACAGGGTATAGATTATGATATTTGCTGCATCTGTGTCTCCTTGATTAGCCACAAAGATGAAAAGCCCATTCATTTTGTCATAAAACACTGCACTCTTCAAATCACATCTGACACTGTAATACTGATATTTAAAATCTCTAATGTCAAACTTTATAATCTATAACTATAAAATTCTCAGTACCCACTTAATAGAAAAAAGATTGCAATTCTTCTGTATTTTTCATATGAGCTATCATTGCCTTAAAAAAAACTGAACTCTCATCTCCTACCTTTATAAACTCTAAGTAGTCGGTATTGGTTCTTTCTCCTCCAAGTCTAACAGGTACTAGAATAATAACAGCTTTGTCATCTGTGTTATCAGAAGTCACGAAAGCACGTTGTTTATCAATTACATCTGAACTGTAAACTGAAAAAAAACATAATGAATATGTATTAATGTTTTCAGAAACATTTTTACCCTAATTTCCCCCATGCTGGGCAGTCATCTGATCTTTGACATCATTATCAAGGTCTGAATGAGTTAAACATACCTAGCTTGTTCATGCATTCAATAAATACTTACTGAGTATCTTACTATGAGGCCCTGGGGCTTCAGCAGTGAGCAAAATGGAGAAACATCCCTGCCCTCAGGGAGCATATACTCTAACATGGGGAAATGGGCAATAAATAAAAAAAATATAATATAGTCATATGGTGATGGGTGCTTCAGAGAAAACAAAGGGAGAAATATGGATAAGACAAGATGGTGGTGGGAATGATTTAAAATCAGGTGGGAGGCAAAGTTTTATGAGAAACTAACATTTAAGTGAAGACTTAAAGTAAGAAACCAAATAATGCAAATACCTGGAAGAAGAGCATTCCAAGTAGAAAGATTACCAAGTACAAATGTCTTAGGGCCGAAGCATATTCCAGGAACAAGAGGCCAGTACCTCTGAAGGGAAGTGAGCAAGGGGTAAGGAAGCAGAAATAGGTCGGGAGATAAAGTTACAGTTTGGGACAGAAAGAAGACAGACTGTGTGAACTCTTAAAGGCCATTGTAAAGACTTCAGTTTTTGCTTTAAGTGAGTTGGGAAGACACTGAGAAGTTTTTCTTAGGAAAAGAATGTTCTGATGTAACAATTCACCAGTCTAGTTCATATCTTGCTAACAGACTGTAGGGGTGGCGGCTGAAGCAGAGAGAACAGCTAGAAAGCCATTGCAGTAATTCAGCAAGAGGTGATGATGACTTGAACAAAGGTGACAATTATAAAGACAGGGAATGGTCATAGGATGGTCACGTGGAGGCGGTGAAAAGTGATCAGTTTGAAGATAGAGAATGCCTTCATACATTAAATGTAAGGAGTGAGAGGCAAAACAAAAAAAAGGGGGAATCATAGGTGATTTGAAGGGTTTTGATATAACCAAACAGATTAAGAGAGATGTGATCTACAAAGACACAGAAGACTGTAGGAGGCAAAAATAGAAGAGGGAGGATTGGGAACTCAGTTTTGGACATGCTAGTTTGAGATGTCTATTAGGCATGCAAGTGGGAAGGATGAGTAGGCAGTTATGGACATAAAAGCCTGGACTGGGGAGGGGACCAGGATGGACTTACAAATTTGGGAACTGCCAGCATACAGATGGCAATGTAAAGCCGAGACTGGGTGAACGCAAATCTGTGTACACAGACAAACGGATGCAGTCTAAAGGCTGGGCACAACGCACCGACAGTTTTAGAGATGAGGGAGATATGGAAAAACCAGCAAAGGAGACAAGCAGACAAGGAGCCAGAGGGAAACTGAAGAACAGTGCTCTGCAAACTAAGTGAATGAAATGTTACAACGAAAAGGAGGAAGTTGTGGCTGTGCCAGCCGCTACTGACAGGCTGTGTGACTGAAGGCTGAGAGGTGAACACTGAGACATGATCAATGGTTTGGGCAAAATTAAATTATTGATAAGGGCAGTTTTGGTAGAATGATGGGTGGGAGATCCTAAGTGGAATAATGCAAGAGAAAATGAGGGAATTAGGTAGAAGGAAATACAAACTAAACTTTATATTTTTTGTTCAACATAAATTAGTTTTATTCAAAACTTACTTTATACCCATACTCCTTGTCCATTTAACCAAACTCATCTGCTCTTCCAATTAACTGATTGACAAATTCTGCCTCTTGTGCCCCAGTTCTTCCCTTTGAATTCCAAATTTAGACTATGAGTTATCAGATTCTCTGTATACAAGCTTCCCCATTTCCCACAGTCCATCTAAACCAGCAATTTTCAACCTTTTTCATCATGTGGCACACACAAACTAATCACTAAACTTCTGTAGCACACCAAAAAATATATTTTTTGCCAATCTGAAAAAAAAACAAGTATAATTTTGATTTACTGACACTGGACGGCTATTGTGTTATGTTGGCTGTTGTCGCTTTTTTATTTGACAATCTAAGGGAAAAGAGGTCAGTGCCTCTGACTAAATAGTCAGATATTGCATGTTTTAAAAATCCTGTGGAACTCCGGTTGAAAATCACTGGCCTAAACCAAAGCTACAAAGATACCACAATAGTTCTTTCTCTTTGTTTCAATGCTATGACCTCACTTTCTCTAAACTACTCAGTAATGGCTTTTGATTATAGACCTTTAAATTCTGTCCCTTTTCTAAAGCAGTGTACATACAACCATGTTTTATCTTTGACTTTTCTGAATGAATGCACATTTCAATCAAATAAAGTTTCCCTTCAGAGAGGTCTACTTCCTCCAGAAATAAATATTGTCACAAGTAATACAAAGTAATGACATTTCTATAGTCATCCACAACAATTTCTCCCTTAACAAATGCCTCTTATCCTTCATCTTCATTCAACACACATTTACTGAGGTTCTATGCTGGGGGGTGGGAAGGCCAGATTTCAGAGTGTCTGAATCAATGGTTTTGGTGTTTTTTCTCTATGTAATAGTCCAATTCCATAACAGGTTCACTATAGCAGTGATTCCCAAACAAGTGATTCTGATGCCTTTCCCCTATCCGTGCTACCTTAACAATCACTGATCTACGGCAAGAAACAGGTAATCAAAAGGTGACATTACAAGTTATTTCAAATGCATCATTTCATAGAGGTATTTCCAAAATGTCACAAAGCACAGAAAAATAAACTAATTCTTCCAAATGGGAGAAGAGAAAGTCTTTACCTAAGGTGTAAACTTTGTGTTCCAAAACAAAAGGCATTTTAATAAGGCATGTTCTAAGCAGAGACAATATGTGCAAAGGCATGAAAAAACATAACAGTATGTCCAAAGAATGGCCTGGAGGTTGTTGATAGTGCTTTGCTGTATCAATATGGAAGACAGTGTTGGGAGGTGATGCTAGAAATCCAGGTTGGGACAAATTAGAAAAGACTTCATGTGCTTTATATGCTAAAATAACTTGAGACTAGAGTTAATGACCAATCATAGGCTTTTAAAATTAAGGAACATGATCAATTTCTGTAGATCAGATAGATCAAAAAGAGAAGAGGCAGACAGGGAAGTCAAGTGAGAGTCCAACTTTCAGGTAAGAGTCTGATTTAAATCAATGAGAGTAGAGAAGAGAGAACAGATTTCAGAAGCGTTTTTTAAAGTTTGGTAAGCTTTGGCTGACTGGCTAGGTAAATGCCATGAGGAGAGTCAAGAATACATAAGTGCATGCATGTGGGCATGATACTGTTAGTGAAGAAAAAAATAGAAAGAAAGAAAGGAGTGGGGTAGAGAGAAATAATAAGTTTAGTTTCAAACATGCTGAATTTGAAGTGTTTCTAAAACATTTAGGAGATATTTGAGGGGCAGAAGAAAAATACAAGTTACCTCACATTAGCACAAGCAGCCCTGAAAATGTAGTTTCAAAAATCCTAGTGTTGAGCGTAGAGCCCTAATTACTTAAAGCCATGGAAAGAGATGCAATTACAAAGGAAGAGAATATAGAATAAGAAAAGGAAATGAACAGAAAATGGAAATTTTAAAAATACTAATGAAGGCGAGGGGGGGGAATTATTGATAAAATCTGGCTTCACCTAATTCCTAACCCTACAATTTATCAAAATACACTACACTAATATAATTTCTTCCTTTAGGATTCTTAAACATCAGTGTTAAAGATTTTAAGAAACACTTCATTAAACAAACCACTTATTTAATGAGAAACTTTGTGTTGTTTAATTAATAATATGTAACATTTAAAGACCAAGGTTGATTGTTAGCAATAAAAGCACAAAAGCCAAATTCATAGATTTATTTAATGGTTAATTGTTTAAGCACATCCTTTGACCTAATTAGCACTCTTTACAAATCAAATTTTATTTGCAAGACTTCCTACCTGAAAAACAAATAAAGGACCTGCAAAAATCAAGTCATCTGAAAATTTATAATTTTCTTTCTCATATGCCTATCAGCCTTTCTTAAAAAACCAATTAACCTTAACAAAAGAGACCAAACAAATGCATGTGTATTTGATTACCATTTTTCCATTTATTACAAAATAAAGCATTTTGTAAATATCTTTATGTTAAGTATGACTGAAGTATATTTAACTTCCCCAAGACATTAACATATTTTATCCTGTTAGTGGCATTTGTATAAAAAATAAATAAATTTAACAACATGAGATGGCTTATTTAAAGGCACTTTTATTAACTGCCTTTATTTTATTAAGAAATCAAATAGTCTATTTAACCCAACAAAGTTTCACATTACTATAGACATTGGTCATTAAACAGAGTACCCAAAACAGTAAAACAAGGCAAAGTTCTAGACAAGAGCTGCATCATCATCAGAGTGTACTGAAGCACTACTGAGAAAGAAACACATCCAGGTGAAGAATTTTCTGTCCTTAAAAAATATCCACCAATGAAATAATAGTACCAGGCACACCAGCAGCCCAAGGACATACCTGTGTTAAATTTTCTTGTCTAGCTTTTTTAAATACTCATTTTAGCCCTGGCTGGTGTGGCTCAATGGATTGAGTACCAGCCTGCAAGCCAAAAGATCACCAGATCAATTCCCAGTCAGGGCACATGCCTGGGTCGTGGGCCAGGTCCCCAGTGGAGGGTGTATGAGAAGCAACCAATCAATGATGTTTCTCTCCCTCTCTTTCTCCCTCCCTTCCCTTCCCTTCTCTCTAAAAATAAATAAATAAATTCTTTTTAAAAAGTAGTCATTTTAAATGTTGGAATTTTATTTAAGAGCTTATTTGAATATTGGAACTAAGAATTCATAGTGTATTAAGAAATATTTAATAAGTGCCTGTTACATGTAGGGTGTTATATGGGAACAAAAATATAACATGGTTCCTACTTTCATAATCATTTAGAATATAATTGGAACAAGCTAAACACATATGAAAGTCTAACCAAACAAACATAGGAAAATTAAAATTATATACATTCCTTACCTGTACAATCTTGTGCAACATAAATAGTTATTCCTTGTAAATCAGGGTGTCTGGCTTCTTCAACTGCTTTTCTAAGAAATAACAAGCATCATCCTTTAAAACCCTAACAGTTATTTCCAGTTGGTAACTAAAGATTTAACTTAAGAGGAAAGAAAGCCATCATTTTCCTGACATTCCCACTTAACCTATAGTGTCTGCATTCAAAACTATCATCTAAATGATATAAAAAATCAGGTCAATTTTTTCAAAGTTGAATATTATACTAAATTACCTAAAGAACATTAAAATATAAATTACAAAGTACATAAAAATATTGGGTATAAAACTGTAACCCCTGTACTACCCCCAATCCACCCCCAATTTCTCTCAACCACTTGCTTGGCTATACTAAACATTTGCTAACCAATGATATTACAATGTGCTTCAAGGTTTGCTTCATATTAACTTAATTACTGACTAGCAGTGAGTTGCTTTTTAACTGTCCTCTGGTACACTTAGTTAAGAAAGTCTCTTCTTTTCTTTAAACAATAACATGACATTTTTTTTTATTTGTTCAAGTATCTGTCTTAGAATTCTGTAAGTAAAACTGCAAATTGAAAAATATTTCTATGTGAGTATAATGTTCTCAAATGATATGAAAAAATCACAATATCTTGTAAGAGGAAATTACACAAATTGTAGAAATAAATATTGTTATTTAACTGTATCTTTATACTTTTTTAACTTACACTTTATTATGCATGTTTGTATGTGTTAGTACAGAAGAAGAATCAACAACCTATGGCCCACAAGCCAAGTATGACCTGTGGCCTGTTTTTTTGGTAAGAACCATTTTTACAGTTTAAAGGCTTACTTTTAAAAAGAAAGCAAGCAAGAAGGAAAAAATTTTTTAAAAACAGGCAATAAAGCCGTTATAAGGCCTTTTACAGAAAAAGTTTTCTCATCTGTGGGGTAGAGAACATAATCTTGAAGAGTACAAACCATGTCTTTATCATATGCTTCTATAAATGTCATACCAAGCTGAACTTGGCATTATAATTAACAATACATTTAATAACATTATGCAAATACTTTTTCAATTGTAAGTATCTGGACTATAAAATATAAAAGCAATTTAATATAGTATGAAAAAATTTGGTAATAATTTCAAACTACCAGTATATGATTCTCAATAGAATAAATTTACCATACTATACTTGAAGACATATTAATCATTCAGTTTATAATAATAAAGGGATATACAACAAATAAGATAATTTTTTTAAAAACTTAAATAGTATCCAAATGAATGTCACACAAAAAGATGAAATTTCACTCTAACTTTTTTCTAGCTATTCTGAATGTTGCAGACTCTTTACTTTTACTAACATGATAATATAATATTAATAGTCCCATATATTTACAATTCACAAGAATTTGATGTATGCAAAGAAATGCTGAAAACATCACTTTTAGTTCTTGACATTTCATTACGCTATTAGTACATTACAGCCCCCAGGTATACCACCTTTTTAAAAAACTGTAATATTATGCATATTTGAAAGTTGGAACAGTTGTTAGTTTTGTTAGTTTTAAGAACAATAAGGTAGTCTAAAGAAAACCTGGTTAGAAAGAGGCCTTAGACATCTATATCTGTGAGCAAAAGAAGCAAACTTTGTCAGTAGATAAATTACATGAAACCAGAGTTACGAGTGTTGCAAATAAATGTCCAGTATGAATATTCTCATACAGTTAGATTTTAAAAGTTCCAATTATGTATATATGCTGCAAAAATAAGTATGTCTGAGTCTCAGGACCTCTGCCATAAGATGAAAGACTGTAAAACATTTTACCTTAAAATGTGAGCAACCACAGCTGGTCCATACCAATCTCCAGCTTTTTTCCCGGACTTCTTCCCATATTCTATTAGTTGATGTAAGCCAAAGAGAGCCAAGGGAGAATCACCAAACCAAGAGATGATTTTCCTGTGATAAATTTCATTTCGTATTTCATGATCATCAGGGTACCTCCCAATTGTTTCCTTCAGAGAAATTGTTGGAGTTTTGAGTTCTCTTTCCCCTGACAGCGGTGCTTCAAACGATGCAGTAAATTTTTTTACAGTGTGGGAAGTCCATGATTCAGAGTCTGAATTTTCAATGTTCAAAGCATCGGGCCAGGTCCAAGCTATAGTAGTTCCAAAGCAAGGTGTTCAGATCTTTTAAATAGTTAGACTTCAATAATTCTACTAAAATAAGTATGTAGCTTCTAAACTCATATGGGTTACTAAACTAAAAGAGTACACTCAGAAAGAAGGAAATGTGTAGAGTCAGAAAGGAGATTAATAACTGGATATGGAAGAGGAGTATACTGAGAATAATTACTAATGGGTATGAGGTTTCTTTGGGGAATCATGAAAATGTTCTAAAATTAGATTATGGTGATGGCTGCAGAACTTTGTAAATACACTAAAAACCACTGAATTGTTCACTAATGGAATAGTTTATGATATATAGATTCTATCTCAATAAAGCTATTTTAAAAAGCAAATAAAGATATGAGCAGAAAAAATGTCAACATATCAATAATGTTTACTTTTGAGTAGTAATATTATTCTCTGGACTCTTCTACAGTTTCTATAATTTCTAAAATGGGAATATATTATATAAGAACATTAAAAAGTCACCAAATTAAAGACCGAAAAACAAAAAGAGAGAAAAACAGCAAACCCAGGTCCACATAAACAGTTGTAGAATTTTTTTTTTCTTTTCTGTGACAGCTCTGAGATGGAAGACAGACTTTTGTGTTCCACTACCAGCACTACTGATCAGACAGCCAGTCTTGACCGCCCAAAGGCACAATAAACATATTCACTAACATACAGAGTATTCATGAGAGAGTAACTTCAGAAAGCAGATATTGTTTTGATTATATGTTAAAATAGAAGTCTGACCATGGAAATTTAAAAAATTTTTTCAAAATGTTCTTTTCTCATATAATCCTTTCAGAATAATAATCATTGTTTAAGGCATAATATCAATTATCTAGTAAATGAAAAGTTATAATAAATGAAATCATTAAAGACCAAAGATCTCAAAAAAGTTAACTGTTTCCACAAGCTCAGTGTTTTAGATAACAAGACAGTCCCCACACATACATGTAATTTTAAGTTAACATAATGAGTCAGATTCAGAGACCTAGTCAGGACTATGAAATACCCCATATTTGGCAGTGCATAACGAGCACTTTTTTGCCCAAATTTTTGAGGGAAAAATAAAGATGCGCATTATACATGGGTATAATGGTTACATAACATGGGTATAATAATGGGCATAATAATCCTGTGTATAATGCACACAAAACGTGTGTGCATTATGCACAGCATAATATGGTATATTCCAATTCTTGCCCCTAACTGCACAAGACTACAAATCAATCATCCCAGAGTTTAAAAATTCCTCTTCCTTGCATCATCCTCACCACTCTTGAATAAACATCTTCTATATGATCTTATCAATAATCCCAATAGAAAGGTTACTAAATATTTGCCATACATTCAGAAAAACACACACAAAAAATAATAGCATTTCGTAACCAGACATGATAGCCTGAAATAGTAAACTAAAATTCTCCTACAAATGTACACATTATAAAAAAAAAACTGACTAATAGAAATGGTGAGGAAAGTAGCACACTAGAAAAAAATGATATAAGTTAAATTAGATATCGATGACATTTTTGAGTTAAAGGACTAAGTATGATGATCTTATTAAGAACATGCATAATCAGTTGAACTGATTACAATCATATTTACAAAGAAAAATAACTTTAAAGCATTATTAATATATAGAGAGAAAATAAAGAAACCAGTGTAAAATGTGTTACGATTTAAATAATGTAACAATATTAACTATCCGTTCAAAGTCACTGCTATTGACCTGCCTAGGATTTACTGAATTGGAGATATAACCCAGAGAGTTCAAGCGAAAAGAAATAAATAATAACCACAAAAAAGGGGGGGCTACCAAAACTTGAACTTAATTCATGGTGGCAGCCAAGAATAATGGGTATGTTTAACCTATATTTTTAAAAGGAGAATCATGAAAGTTTAAGTCATAACTGGCTCAATTCAATAAAGATGTAATATGTTAGGTTACTTTCAACTTTAGAAGACATTAGGGAGTCAAGAAATTAATCTCAGAGAATTTTATGCAGTTTGCAAGCTAGAGTTCATATTTAAAAAAAATAAACAAACAAAGATTTGATTTACCTCTACCAAGAAAGTGCAGTATGAGTCCTTGAGCCAGCAGCATCTGGCCAGTTCGTAATGTGCAGCCCCAACCACAGTCTGTTGTCAAAGTTGAGCCTTCTATTTGAGGAAATTCTTCCCTGTATGTCAGCCATACTCTTGAAATAAAATCTTTACGAAATTCCTCTACATTTCCCGCAATTATATGATCTTCTATAGTACATCCTGATCTTGCAGGTAACAGTTCATCTACAAAATAAAAATATAAACTACAGTCTAAATATATGTTGAAACATCAATAATGGTAGTATATTCAATTCCTGTCCATATGATACAGAGTATGCCACAATTTTTCTAACCTTCTTCTCTATTTAAATGGAAATAAATTACATTCGGCCTAATCAGACTGTTATGAAAATTAAATAAGAAAGAATGCTGAATGTTTTGTACACTCTAGCACTAATATAAGACATTATCAGTAATACTGTTGTTAATAACAATATCCTATAGTTCAAATATAATCAACTCTTTTATGAGGGGTAATATAAAAAAAATTTTCTTTTTGCCTCATTTGACTCAGCATATAGATATCAGTGCTCTCTAAAATGAGATCTGCAATAAAAATATCATGATTGTCAATAAGTAAAAATGTGTTTAAACTAGTTCTTAAAATCGAATAAAATGTACACACTGTATTCACTGTCTTGGATATTTAACTCAAATTATAACATCAAAACCAATAAGCTAAAGAATAAAAATATAAAATTCTTAAATATATAGTTATCTTTTATATGGAAATATAATTTTTTAAAAATTGTTGCAACCCACATATATCATTTTTAAAGGCTTTTTCAAACTGATTACCTCTAATACAATTTCTATGTGAAAACTATGGTCACTGTTTGCCTAACAATTTATAAAACACTAGTGCTAAAAATGAACTGACATCCTTGGTTATTCCCAGAGAGAGGGTCTTAATAATCTTTACAACCTCAGGATACAGCACAATGCCTCGCACAGGCAGATCCTAATGAATGCTGGTCAGTTTGGGTGGGTGGGTGGTGGGTAGGTAAATCTGCCTACAACTCTCAGTTTTAAGGAATCCAATTTCTAATACCCTTTGAGAGGATGTTCAAGTAGTCATGCTTTTATCATGCTTTTATTCCTCAGCCTTCCCGCACCCATACCTCTTCAAGTCATTCTGAAAAAACTACAATCACCTAAACATTATATATATGTGTGTATATATGTGTATTTGTATATGAATATATACTCAGCTTAATGGAGCTAAGTTGCAGCATATAGTTTCAATAAAAATAAAGAGAATGAGTGCCAACCCCCATTATCAATTAATACCCTTCAATGTTAGAGTTTAAAGCTAATAAAAGTAAAAATGCCTGGAAATTTAACATGGCATTAAAAATATGTCCAAAACTTCCACTTTAGAGACATTCAAACTTGTCTAAAACTTTATACAATAGTGCCTACCCTCGCACCTCACCCTGTAGCTTGCCAAACATAATAGTTCCTGATCTCCTAACTAGAAGTGATTAATTCCTTATCCTCTTAAGATCCTCTTAAGATCTAGACTCCTCTTAATGCTTACCCTAAATATTACTGGAAAACTGCTGGTACTAAATGAACAGTTGTCCTGTTGACTTTCCACTATAATACTGCCCCTGGTATTCCACCATCTGACAGACTTTGCTTTGTCACAACCCTAACTGATCGTATCTACTGCCCAATGGGAATACATTCTTCGAAATGCATTGTTAGGTGATTCTACAGTTGTACAAACATCACAGAGTGCACTTATGTAAACCTAGGTGATATAGCCCAGTATACAACTAGGCTAAAAGGGATAGCTTATTGCTCCTAGTCTGCAAACCTGTACAGCATGCTACTGTACAAAAGTACAAGGTTAAATCAAGCATAAGAGAAAACGGTGTAATCAAGAGATACAGTTAACACAAGACGTATGAGGCTTCTGGCAGCCTAACTAACATGGCATACTGTTTTACAGGCAACTTTTTTTTATAAGTTGAAAGAGGACCCTCTAAAACAATACCCAAAGAACTATTACGTTTGGCAAACCACAGGGTGAGGTGTGAGGGTAGGCACTATTGTATAAAGTTTTAGACAAATTTGAATGTTTCTAAAGTGGAAATTTTGGACATATTTTTAGTGCCATGTTCAATTTCCAGGCATTTTTACTTTTAATTAACTTTAAACTCTAACATTGAGGGATATTAGTTGATAATGGGGGTTGGCATTCATTCTCTTTATTTTTATTGAAACTGTATGCTGCAGCTTAGCTCCATTAAGCTGGAAGTTTAGAATAGTAAATACATAACCCAGTAACACAGTTATTTACTATCCTTATCAAGTATTATGTACAGTACATAATTGCATTGCTACACTTTAATACAATTGGCAGCACATCAGATTTGTTTACACCATCATCACCACAGACACATGAGCAATGCACTGCGCTACGCCATTTCTTTGGCTATGATGTCACTACACAACAGGAATGCTTCAGCTCCATTATAATCCTATGGGACCACCATGTATGTATATGTGGTCTGTCATTGACTGAAACATCACTGTGCAGGACATAACTGTATAATGTTTTTTAAATCTCCAAATTTCCCTCCAGATTTCAAGTACATCCCCTCCAGATTTCAAGTACACTGGAGGAGAAGGAATATGTTTATCGTGTGCTTCCCTGAATCTTCAGCACCTACCACAGATGTGCAATAAACAATTTTAAGATGAATTTAAGACAAATGGAATCAAAGGAGAAAGGTAGGGTTTCTTTGTTTGGTTTTGTTTTGTTTTTTATATGACAGAAGACATGTGAAGGCTTTATGAAGAATGTAAATATGTGAAAAAAAACACTACAAAGAACGGGAAAGAAAGTTGATAAAGGAAATGGAAGAGAATTGCTAGTAATATTGAGGGTTTAGTCAAGGCTGACTATCAAAATCAGAAATCACAATTAGGCAAGCTAATATGAGAAATAATTAGCAGTTAAGCAAAGTATAGAACAAAACCTCAGGAGTATAGCTATTTAGCAGAGGTGGGATAAATTAAGTAAGCATAAGCTTAAAAACGAGACGGGTATTGAAAGTTGGATAAATAACAGAAAAGAGACTATTCAAACTAACCAAGAACATAGGAAAGGAAACCAAATGGAACTACTAGAAATGAAAACTATAACTAAAAACAGGAACTTAGTGTGGGATTAAACAAAAAATTACACAGCTAAGGAGATAATTAAGAAACCAGAAGTAAGAACTAAAGAAATTACTCAGAACACAGTGCTGAGAAACAAAGTAATAGAAAATAGGACCAAAGAATTTCAGAGACATGGAGAAAAAATTCTAACAGAAAGATTTATCAGAGATACAGGAGAGAGAGAGAAAGAAAAATGAGGAACAGCTATAATTAGAAGTGGCTGAAATTTTTTCAGGTTTTAAGAATGATATGAATTTCAAGTAGAATAAAGTGAAATATACACCAAAGACAAAGAGGTGACCTTAACAACCAGAGAGAAGAAACAAAGAAATAACAAATTCAAAATACTAGACAAAACATCTTTATGCCCTAAAGTAAGCAAAAATATATTAAACAGAACACAAAAAGCACTAACCATTTTAAGGATATGAAAAATTAACTAGACTATGTTATTATGAGCTATGTTCTTCAAAAGAGAACATTAAAGGAGTAAAAAAGTAATAGAACAGGAGAAGACATTTCCTATAGATATATCAAAAAAGGATTCATATCTAGAATACATAAAGAAAACCTAGGAATTAGTAAGAACAAGACAGATAACCAAAGACATATCCAAATGGAAAAATAATTATGAAAATATGCTCAACTGCATCAGTTATCAGAGAAATGCACATTAAAACATGGTTCTAAATATAAGAGGAAAATACCAAGGGTTGGTGAGGTAAGAGCAAGCAGAATTCTCATACACACCTGAAGGAATATAAATTAGAAAACTATTTTGTAAAACAGTAGTGTATACCAAGGCTGAATACATAAATACCCCATAACCTAGCAATTACATTCCTCAGTACATATACTGAACAAAAATCCACACACATTTGTTCACCAAAGCACATGTACTAGAATAATCACCATCAAGACTCTTAACAATTGCCAAAAATTGAAAACTACCCAAATGTCCACCAAGAGTGAAGTGGGTAAATAAAGTGTTTCACACGCACACAACGCAACAGTCGGAGGAATACAAAAATACCCAATGCCAAACAAGGTAAATGGCATAATGTCTGGCAATCGGTGAAGAATTACTGAGCACACAAAGAGGCCAGAAAACACTAGCCAAAATGAGAGTAATCAATCAAAACGGACTCAGAATGGACACAAATGCTAAAATTAACAAACAAAAACATTAAAAGTTATTACAACTATTTAACATATGTTCACCAAGGTAAGTAGAGACAAGGAAGATTTAAACAATGGAACTTCCACAGACATACAAACTACACTCTCCAAGATAAACAATACACAGATCAGGACTTATGGCAGGTTAGATATTGCTGAGAAGAATGAAAGATTGGTGAACTTGAGGACATAGCAATAGGAACTGTCCAAAATAAAACAGAGAGAGAAAATAAATTTTTTTAAATAAAATAGCTTCAGTGAACTGAGCACAATTTGATTTATGCTAATTATACAGGGGTGGGCGAATGTAGGTTTACAGTTGTTTGTATGGAAAATAACACAATAATTTATAAATAATAATATAAGAATAAACTCCATTTCATGTACTCACAACTGTAAACCTACTTTGCCCCATCCTATATTTTCTCAAAGCAATCATTCCTATACCTGTGGATTCAATAACTTCTAATATACTCTCATGGCAATACATTTTTTTTACTTTATTAAATTACCTAGTTTATTTCACATGTATAATTTTGTCTTCTGACCATTTCCATTTGTCTGACCACCACTGCTACTATGTCCTGTCATAACATCCTGTACACACTTAAAACCAAGCATGCTGTTCCAGCCTTAAGCACTCAACAGGCATTGTGGATAACACATTCTTGGTAATGGAACCTGGACAACATTTATCAGACACAGTAGGGAAAGTTCTCACTGTGCATTATAAATACAAAATCTAAAAATGAGGGTTGTTTTGGATGAGGGTTGTTTTGGATGGTTAGATAAATATCGTACTTGAAACAAGACTGGAGCATAGTAAATGC